GGGGGTGTGAGAGCAGAGTTGACCAGGCCGGGTGCCCACCGACGGCGCACCTGGGAGCAGACCACCAGGGAGGAGATGGAAGGCCCGTGCCTGAGGCAACTGGGAAGCGCTGGTGTGATAGTCCCTAGCCCGGCTTGCTCTGTGTTGCTCCTCCCTACACGAACTTTTCTGTGCCTTGCCCCACTCTTGGACTGGTGTTGCAACTAAGTAGCTCCTTCTCCTGGAGCCAGTAGTGATGGGGAGGCTGTGCGTGTTTACTCTCTATCTTCCCTTTTGAAGTACTGTGGTGCCCTGGTTTAAACTCAGCCAGTCATTTTGGGGGGAACTCAGTTCATAGAAGCTGGAACAAGTCTTACCTGAATCTGTGTTTTAAGTGTCCCCGTGGCTGAGTATTTTGAATAATCAATCTGTCTTCATCGCTTCTTATTAATGCACAACACAGGCCTCCCCCTCCCTCCTATCTCCTTCTATATTTGTCAACTCTTTAGGATTTTGTCTTTCTGCTATTAACATGCCTAATGTCACATGCAAGCTTTTTTTTTTTTAAACAAGCTGTTCATTGGTGTATCTGGATACTTCTTTTATTATTATTACTGAATCTTTTTTTACCCATAATGACACCAGGATCATTATATAATCCCATAACAAAGAGGCTTTTGAGGCACCAGCTTTTGTCAACTCTAGGACAGAGAATCCATAATTGCATTATTCAGCTTTTTTTTTTCCCCCTCTTCTTTCCCCCACTTCCTTGCTTCACAGAAATCCAAGCTCACGTACCATTCAAATCTCCACCTTGTTACCTCCGCTTATGTTATTTACCAAAACGTTCGCCTTGAGGACCAGCCTTGCAAAGTTGCCTTTAAAAAGTTATTTTGTTTGATAATTAAGTCCTGGAGCCCACCGCGTGATGATTATTCTGGACCCATAAGGCAGAGAACCTGCGTGACGTTTTTCTCGAAGTTTAATTACCGTATGCTAATTTCCTTGCCTACTACGTGATTAATTAAAATCATATTTTCATAATCATTTGGCACTAGTATTGTTTTAGAATTATCATGATCTCCTAAATAGTGTCTGTAAATAAAGTCGCCTCTAATGGCAGGCGCGGGAGGCGAGGCTGAGGACCTCTCCGTGTTTGTATCGCGGCGATTGGCAACATAACTGCCTTATTTACATTAAATACGCCACAAGGTTACAGCGCGGATCAACGTCATTTGATCGCTGATGACTCCCTTAAACGCCCGGGCTGTGACTGATTCTCCGCGTCCCGCTGTCCACCGAGATTCACCCGGGAGTTTTTTTTTTTTTCCCCCAGAAAAGAAACAGACTTTAAATAGTTTCAGAAGCAGGTAAGAATTACGCTTTTTCCTCTCCCCTTTTCCGTCTCTCTCTCTCCTCTCCCTCCGTGGCAATCTCTCTCTCTCTCTCTCTCTCTCCCTCTCGGCTGGATAAAAAATTCTTTAGTCAAAGGCAGGAATGCAAAGTAGTGACAAGCGAAGGGGCTGATATATGTCTCAGTAACGAGTCTGACAATCAGAATGTAGCTCTTGGAGAATAGATAGATTTTAATAAGTGTGTTTACATGAGCTCAAGGTCAGAAGCAAGCTGCGCTGTGTTAAATGGTTTCTTAGTTGCTAGACAGAGAGAAAAAATGGACGATCACACACCATTCTTTGTAGATTATTATATCAAGGGTTCAGTCTCTGGCTCATCAAAGCTAAATGCCGCAAGACCTATCTAGTTGCTGTGAATTATGCCAGGGCGACAATGGAGAGCGTTTTTAATGGTACAATGCATTTCACCTACCAGATAGGGGGAGGCCGAGCTGGGGATGGGGATGTCTGCTGGGGCTGGGTGATGAGTATCAATGAACGGGGCGATTCTGAAAAGAGGCTGATGAAAATCGAGCCTGCCCTGCCCGGGCTGGGCTGGGAACAGTTCGCCGGGCTCTGCCGAGTGGGCGAGCGAGGCGCGCGAGCTGGGCGCCCGTCCCCCCTCAGCCCCGGAAAATGATCAAGTCAATCATGTGGACATGTTTCATTATTCATTGAACACAATCTTTTACAACGCTCCGTTTACGTGCCCGAGTTTGCTCCCGACGCCCGCGTTTCAATGTTTAAGGTAAGGGGAAAACAAAGGTGGGGGGGTGGATCGCGGGGCGCGGCGCGGTGGGGGGGCACTGGGGGGCGCGGCGGGCGCGGGGGGACCGCCCCGGCGTCCGGTAGGTGGCAAAGTGAGTTTGGACTCTTGGCGTAGCACCCCCCCATCCCCTCCCCCTCCTCATCTCGGCGAGGCCTGCCGCCCGGTTCCTTCTCGCCCCATCGCGATTAAAAAATACGGTCTAATTAAATATCCGTGGCTGTGACGTTGGCGAGAGAAGCTGTCAGCGGGGGCAAAAAAAAAAAAAAAAAAAAAAAGAGGAGGAAAACCGAGAAAGCGGCGGCGGCCGGGCATCGAATGGCGCTAGAGAACTTCGGCGGCGAACGGGACCAGCGCCCGGGCGGCCGCCTCCCCCGCCCGCGGTCCCGGGACCGTTAGTTTGAAAAGGGAGTCTCCGGGCCTCGCGCCCCGGCGCGCGGGAGGGACCCTGCGCCCAGCTTCGGCCCCGGCCCGCGCCCCCAGTCCGCGCGCGGCCGGCAAGCGGCTCAAAGGCCCCCCGGAAACTTTCAGAAGGGTTTTGGGGGTGGGGGGAACTCGTAAGGGGAGGGGGAGTTTGGGGACGCGGAAACTTCTGCTCAAGTGACTTTCCCCATTTTCTCCTCTGCCTGGAACTGGGGCTCCCCTTGCTCTCCCCCTTTCCCCACGCCGCCGCTGTGAGATACTGACCCCTCTGCCTAGGAGAGAGAGAGAGGGTAATTTGTAACCTTTTTTTTTTTTTTTTTAATCAAAGTTAGCTGATGCTTACAGTGTATCAAACTTGCCAGAGCCGAGGGCCTCTGAGACCTGCCATTTTGTGTTTTCACCGGCCTCTTGCGCCCCGGGAGCCCGGCGAGGCCGAGGCCGGGGCCGAGGTGCCAGGGTCTGAACCCGCGACCCCGAGAAAGGGCCATGGCTCCTGCAAGTGCAGGCGGCGCCCGTAGCACCTGCCCCAGATCGCCGCGGCCCTGGGGGCAAGCGGTGGCCAGAGACAAAAATAAATAAATAAATAAGTAACAGGTTATGGAGGGAACTGAGCCGGCCAGTCCCGGGCTGGAGAAATGAGGCCAATCAGAGTGAGGAAGTATGGGGGTGGGGGGGTCTGGGAGGGGGGGGGGAGGGGGGGGGGGGGGCGTCTGGGAACAGGGCAATTTAGGGGAAAGCACCCCCCAGCCCAGACATAGGACTGGGGCGAGAATGATCGCTGCTAATAAGCCTTTCTGTTTGCTTTAAGACATTATTATTTTTTTTTTTGAAAATGAATTAAGGAAAACAGTCGTAGGCGGGACTCGGGATGTATTTTAGGCAAAAATAAAATAAAATAAAATAAGGGGGGGCTTTTCTTTGATGAGTAGGAAAGTGTCCAGATTTCGACGCGCCCATCTGTTGCAGTTTTGCAAATAATTTAAAATATAGATATCTCCGTATAGATGGACGTATGCGAAGTGAGAGAAGGTAGAAACGCAGGCGCGGGGAAGTTGGGGGGGGGGGGAGAAAGGGGGGTTGGGGGAGAGAGGGAGAGAGCGCTAGAGAGTGAGAGAACGCTTTGTGTCCCCTCTCCTTAAATCTTCTCAGGAAACTCCTGCAGGGCTTTCTTTGGGGACAGGTGGAAAGTTAAGGTCCCCCCCCCTTCCCCTTTTCACTCTTGTATTGTGAGTCGTCCTTACTGTAGCCTTTTGGCGAGCATATACACAATCTCTGAGTTAGGTGGGAGCTTGGAGGGTTGGGGTTTGCGGGGGCGGTAGTAAGAGGTCGGGGGCTACCGAGGAGCAGGGCGGGGTCCCAACCCCGCGCGCCAGTTGCAGCGGTGGCCGGGTTTTGTTTGCCGGATATTGTTATGTCTAACGGGTGCCTCGCAGGAGACGTGATTTGTCAGCCGCCTTAGTTTTCACTTTAGCAGAAAATACGGCGGCTGCGCGCTGTGCTGGCCTGCTGGGCTCGGGCGCCCGGTGCGTCTGGGGCCACTGGCGTGCGCGCGGGTGGGAGCGGGCGGCCGGCGGGGCATGGGCTACGGGCGAGCCTGCCGGGCGGGGTGAGTGCGCGCGCGGGGCCGGCCTGCGGTTGCTCCTGCGCCTTCTCCCGGCAGCCGCTGCCGCCGTCGCCGCTGTGCAGTTTAGCAGAAATCCGACAGGGGCCGCGTTTGCTGAGCGCATCCGGCCGCCGGGCAGCCCAAGCGGGCCGCTGGGCCCGGCTGGTCCGTGTAGATGCTGGGAGGGGGCTGACGGCGGGGAGCAGACGGGGAGGGGCGCGGGAAGCGATCTTGGTCGGAGTGAGCGCCGCCCCCCTCCCATGGTGTCCTCTGTTTCCCGGCAAGTTGGGTAGTTCCGCGCTCCCGGGCCTTGGCGCCCTAGTCCCTAGTCAGGGCTTAGGTGAACTTGGGGTGGGGTGTGCGTGCGCGCGTGTGTGTGCGTGCGTGTATGTGTGTGCGGAGGGGGAGGTTAGACTGGGAACGCACTGTTTTTTTCCCTCCCTCCCAGTTTGTTATTAGCAACTGGATTTTTACTTTAAGACCAGCTTTGCTCACTGCTGAGGTTGGGAGGGGGGGCGATCTTTTCCCATCACTCACATCTTTGTTCATTGTTCACTGAGTGGAAGGCAGGCGACTTAAAGAGACGAAAGAGAGGAAAAAGGAAGAGAGAGAGAAAAAAGAGGGGGAAGCAAGAACAGGGAAGGAGGAAAGGCGTGGGGTAGCGGGCCCCCGACCCCGCTGGGGTCGGGTTTGATAGTGAAATAGTAAACCCACGCACGGAGGGTCGCCAGGAAAGTGGACATTACCGCTTTAATTAACTTCGAGATGCTCCGGCGGCGGGACCTGGCGTAGCCGTGACGCGCCCCCATAAATCTGCCCGGCCCGGGGCTTCTCCGAGAACTCGTACAGTAGCAGCGTCAGATCCAGCGCGCGCCTCCCAGTCCGGAGTCCATTTGCATAATTGGATTTTTTTTTTTTTTTGCCTCCTTCTTCCTCCCTGAAACTTGTTTGAAAACCCAAGTGAAAGCCGCGACGACCTGCACACTCAAAAGCAAGTGCCAAGTAAGTGCCCTGCGGTGGCCTCAGTGCGCCCCGAGGTTAGCGCGCAAAGCCGGCGAGCTAGGTGCCGGGAGCCGCGCGCTGCCCGGCCGGCCTCTGGTGAGAGCCGCTAGCCGGCGGGAGGACTGCATCTGTGGGCTCCCGATCTGCCCGGCTGGCTGCTCGCACAACTTTTTTTTTCTCCCTGTCTCCCGAGTTTTCGGGCCAGGTGTGGTGTTCGGGCCACGCGTGTACCTGTAGCAAGACCGGAGAGGCGATCTCTCGGACGCTGTGGAGTTGGGCATCTCCGGTCGGGGGCGGGTAGTCAGTCCTCGCCGCTGTTGGTGGAGGGCTGAACTGCGAGCTAGCGGGGCTGGCTGCTCGTCGCGCTGCGCCGCGGATGCAGCTTGTCGCCAAATGCCTTCCCCATTATTCTAAGGTTTGTGTCTCCGTGTGTGTGTGTGTGTGTGTGTGTGTGTGTGTACGCGCGCGCGCGCGTTTGTGTCAGTGTTCGACTGTGCTTTAAAAGGAAGAAAAGCAACCAAAACAAGAGCAGGAAGGGCTTTCCCTTAGCTTGACCCCCCCCCTTCCCCCAGCGACATCTATTTCTATTGCTCGAAGGAGAGAGTGCAGAGCTTCTTTTTTTGAAGACAGGGTCACCGATAGATTGACAATTCTCTCAGAAACGCCATAAATTCTACAGCAAAGATGTAGCTGCATTCATAAAATGCCAGCTTTTGCCTGATGAGAAAAGTGGCTTTACCGTCTCTCGAATTATTAAAAATACATAATATATTATTATTATTATTTATAGTGTGCAGAACCTGAAAGTCGATGGCTTGGGGGAAGGCTGTAACCCCAGTTCCTTTTTGCTGGACTAGCTTGGGAACTCGCTGGGGGCTGGGCCCACCACCCTGCCTGGAAGGGCCCAGGGACTCAGCTTTCAGCCAAGGGAGTCGCAGGGGGGCGCCCCCAGCAGCCCTCTGGCCTCTGCTCAGAGAGAGCCTAGGGCTTCAGGCTGCTTTAGTTATGATGTCATTCTGATAGCTGAGTGCAAATGTCTCCTGATTCCACCATTAACCGCCTGGCTGATTTGCTTGGTAATGATAGCACTGACGTCCAGCTCCCTGACAAATGCAGGACCAGCGAGCCCTAGGAATTAACTTTTCCCCCCAGGAGGAGGGAGCCAGCTGCCAGAAGGATCGCCACCCAGGCCCTGCCTTTGGACTTTCTCTGCCTCATCTAGACACTGATATGAATGACAGGCTCCTGGACTGAGGGAATCTCTGTTTTTGCAAAGTTTGGAGAACTTTTAGAAAGCTTTGCTTTCCAGAACATCCTTAATCTAGTAAAAGTGGGAATCCAGTTGTCACCAGACAGAGACATTTGTGTCTGAGGGATGGCCAGGACCCCTTGTCTCTCTGCAGCCATTGTATGGAAGAAGGGATTGTGACATTTGCCTCCTACCTTCGGTCTGTTAACTGTACTTTATGTTAATATCACTGCAAGTAAACCGGATTTAGTGTTGATTTTTAAATAGTGTACAATGATTTAAGATTTCTTTTGATTTACTGTTCAAATGAAATTTGCATAAATGTGATGAAAATGAACTTAACATCTGGGCATATGAAAAAAGGTTAGTACCTCATATGTCATCTGCAGAGAAAGTCTTTAAAATGCTTTCACCCTAAACTGGGTTCGGGGAAACAGTTCCCGGAGACATAAATGGTAATTATGAAAAACCTGGAGAAAATGCTTTCAATAAATTTGCATTCTCTTGGACCAGTGCTCTGAAAACCCATCTTGTTCTATGCCTGGAGTGCTTAACTTCTGAGCAGGCTTGAGATCCTCACAACTCAGCAACTTAACTGCTGGCCGGGGCTGTCTTCACGGAAGACTTAGAGCAGGCAACAACCGTCAGTCATGCTGCATTGGTCCAAGCCAGAGGCCAATAGCCCCCATTACAGGAGAGGACAGGGAGGTGGCCAGTAGGTGCAGCCCTACTAATCACAGTTGCCCATAGGGTGCTTAAGGCACTGCTGAGATGCAGAATCGTTGCCTGCTGAGCTGGTAAGGTTGTCTGCCCTGCCTTAGGTAACCAAAGAAATTTTCATCAGCTCAGACCTATAAAATCCACAAGCCCATTCAAGGAAACTGTGAACTGCATCTTACTTTTTAAGCAAGACAAACTTATATATCTGGCATCAGGAAATCAGTTAAACAGCCTTCCCCAAATGTGGTTGCCTTTTGCTCAAAAGTTGGCTATGAATGGCACAGGTGTTTTTAAAGTGCCTTGAATGGAGGGGGAAAAAAGATAGCAATGATGCTCATGAGAATATAGATGAACTTATTTTTTTTAAAGGAGAGTACCATAAAAGAAGAAAGCAAATAGATTTATTTTTTCAGTTTGAATGAGGACAATTATAGCTTTTTAACATCTTTGGATTTAGTGTTTTTAATAAGCCTTTTAAGTAAGCTGAAATATCGGCTTGCATTTTGTTCTCAACATTATTTAAAATGAGACTTGATGCAAATTTAAAAACAGAAGGGAGTTTTCTGTAGGTGAACTTTTGTCCATGCTGAAGACAGAGCGCCCCCACCCCCTGCCCTGACAGCATGTCTGCCAAGACCTAGAGCCTGTGAATGCTCAGTCCTGCTTCACCTTGTCTCCAGGTGGGGGCTTAGATTTGGGATAGAAGGACATTAATCAGGTGGCCTGATGACTTCTCTTGGGCTGAGAAGGTTGTATTTTGGTGTCTAAAGGCAAGGTACAGGTTCACTCACCTTGGAGATGCCTCTGCTAGTAGGAGCTTGTGAATCAAAGGGCTTTCTCTGTGAACACACACCTGTTATGCACGAAGGCGTGGCCCCGCCAAGTCTGGCTACAGCTATGGCAGGGTATGACTGATGCTGCAGAGGGACTGGAAGAAAAGGAGAAGATCCTTGGGGAATGGAGGGCTCTGCCCACCTGGCTATCTGCACTCACCTGTGTGGGTTATTAATTTTTTTCTTTCTTTGGTTGGTAGGTTTGTTTATTTTGGTACTGGGGATTGTACCCAGGGGCATTTTACCACTGGGTTACATCCCCAGCCCTTTTATTTTTTATTCAAGACTAAAATCTCATTGAGTTGCTGAGGGTCTTACTAAATTGCTGATGCTGGCCTCAAACTTATGATCTTTCTGTCCTGAGTAACTGGGATTACAGACATGTGCCACCACATCTGGCTCACCTGTGTATTTTATGTGTCACCAGTAGGAGATGCTGGGAGGGAGGCCTTTTGCCAAGGAGGATTGGTTGTTCAGGTCTCTTGACTCTGGGGTAACTGTGATGTCCATCTTGGTAGCACTGAGTGTCTTTAGGGGGGTGGATGGATAATGGGTGGAGTCAGAATAAGTTAAGCTGGGAAGTGGCCTCAATGGTCACATTTGTGGTGATGGCAGGGTGTGTATGTGTGTATATGTGTGTGTGTGTGTGTGTGTGTGTGTGTGTACTGGGGGAAGGTGCCATCCACTAGAAGCACCTGCTCTGATATGATTTCCTTTCACCCCCTATTACACTATCCAGGAGAGATTAGTGAGTTTGTAAGTGGTCCTGTGAGGTGGAGGGATGGGTGGGGAAATAAATGGAAGGAATCAGTAAGTGCAGGAAACGTACATGCCCAGGATGTGGTCCCTGGGCAACATATGCCACCTTCTTTAGATCCCATTTTATTTTGTGTTTCCAAATGAAGGCAGATATGGATGGAAGCCACTGCAAGAAGGTGGGCTATGCAGCATGCCACCTGCCTAGGGTCCCAGCAGTAGCTGGGGTGGGGGGTGGGGCCTTCTTTGGCCAGTGCGTGCCATCCACAGGCTTCTGTGGACTGTCTGTCCCCAGGCTGCATTGTACAGGCCTAGTGCTGGTTTCGGCTGTCTCTGTTGTCTGCTTGAGGACCCCCTCTCATCTCCACCTTTCACTTTTAAAAGTTATTATAATCCTTGGTTTTTATTTTATATTTCAATACAAAAAGTAGCAAGTACTTGACTTTTCACATGATGTGGACCTGCTGGAAATGACTCTGGAAGTGATGTCCTACCAATTTTCCCTAAGAGGCAAGATTCGAGGTTAGGGTAGAACTTACCCTAATAACTTGGGCATCTTTTCTACAGACCAGGGTATTACAGACCTTTACCTCTTGTGGGAATCTGTCCTGTGCACTGTAGGATGTTTGGCAACATCATTGACCTCTACCAGATGCCAGTAGCCTGCCCCCACCCACACCAGTTATGACAATCAAAAATGTCTGAAGACATTTCCATATACCTCCTGGGAGAGAGGCAATTAGGCTCATTTCCCATACTTTTCATGAGCCAGGCCCACAAAAGGGGGGAAAGATATATCAGCTTTAGTTCCACCCTCAGGGAGTTTGAAAGCTGGCAGGGGGACACACATGTCCCAGTGCTCCTTGTAAGACCAGGAGATTGAGGCCTGCACCAAATGAAGGCAGACTAAAGGGTCTGTGACGAAGGACAACTTCTAGAGTGGGCGAATAAATGGGTGAGGGGTGTCTGGAACAAAAGTGTGGGACCCAACTCTGATTTTTTTTTTTTTTTTGGCAGAACTGGGGTTGGAACCCAGAGTCTCACACTAGGCAAACTCTACCACTGAACCACCACTCCAGCCCCTCTGATTTTTAAAATGTTGATTAGATCCTAAAAATGTACCTGGGGGTGGAAACTGTGTCTTTGGGCCACTGAGGGTGACATGTAAATCAAAGTGACAGTTCTCAGGCTCTGAACCCTGGTGGCAGGATGCTGACAGTCCTTTATTTCTGAGCACTTATTATGGAAGGGAGGGCACTGAGTGCTTTACAACTTTCTGTGAGGACAGGTACCATATTTGTCCTGAAGTTCAGAAAGGAAACAGAGGCAATGAGTGGGGTAGGTGGAAAGTCCAGGAGGAGCCTCCCAGCCCTCTGCATACTCAACCCCTCTACTGGTGCAAAGCATCCCCCTGACCCACGTTCAGCTGCCTTCTTACCTCT